CTTTATTTAGTTTTTCCTCTTTGTTTCTTGAGTTTTTTTCAACAAATTGCTATCAGAGTAATTTAGTTCTTAAGGGACCTCAAGACTCTATTTTTCTTCTGTTATTCACCGTTCTTGTTTGTATTGATTGAACATGGCCTCATCTAGTTACAATGCGTTGGCACCAACGATCTTCTCCGGAGAAAATTACCTGATTTGGGCAATCAAGATGAAAATATTTCTCAGAGCATTTGATTTGTGGGAAGTGGTTGAAATTGGGGGAGATCCACCAATTTAAAGACACGTAAACCCAACCTTAGCACAAATTAAGCAGTGTAATAAAGATGTAGCAAATAGGTACAAAGCACTTTCTTGTTGACACTCTAATGTTTCTGATTCAATCTTTACAAAAATAATGACTTTTGATAGTCTTAAGGAAGTTTGGGATAAAGTTAGGGAAAAATTTCAGGGTAGTGAACGAACTAAGAAAATTCCTATATTGAATTTATTGAGAGAATTTAAGGTGTTAAAAATGAAAGATGATGAGAGTGTTAAGAAGTATACTGACAAGGTTATGAAAACTGTAAACCAGTTGAGGTTGTTAGGAGAAGATTTGAATGAAAGAAGAGTGGTTAATAAAAATTTTGTTAGTCTTTTAGAGAAATTTGAAGCCAAGACTTCTTTTTTGGAAGATGCTAAAGACTAGTCAAGAATCACTATTACTGAGTTAGTAAATGCCTTAATAGCTCAAGAACAAAGAAGAGCTATCAAGAGTGAAAAGTTTGTAGAAAATGCATTAATAGCCAAGACTAAGGGTTTAAAAGTTAAAGGTGGGAATCAAAAGAAATTTGAGAGTAAAGGAAATAAACATGGAACCAGCAAGCAAGGTAAAGGTGACAGATATCCACCTTGTCCTCATTGTAAGAAGAAAAATTACACAAACAATTACTGCTGGTATCGACCTAATGTAAAGTGTAGGTTTTGTGGTCAAATGGGACATGTGGAAAAGGTTTGCAAATCAAAAAAGTCTGTGGTTAGTGAGGAGAGTGCAGTTGTGGTTGAGCAGGTAATTGAGAATGAAGAAATGCTATTCATGGCCAGGACAGATGATACTTCTTTAACCAAGAATGTGTGGCTCATAGACAGTGGATGTTCAAATTATATCACTAGAAATGAGAGGTTATTCAATGAGTTAGATAGGACTTTCAATGCTTGAGTGAAAATTGGCAATGGAGTATTTTTAAAGGTCTTATGCATAGGTACAGTTGTAGTGAAAACTCCTTCAAGCTTAAAGCAAATATCTGAAGTGCATTTTGTTCCTGAGGCTAACCAAAATTTGTTAAGTGTGGGAAAGTTGGCTAAAAATCATTATGCACTATTATTCAAGGACAAGTATTGTAAAATATTTGATCCTATGGGTGAAGAATTGCTTACTGTGGAAATGAAGAACAATTGATATCCACTAGATTTGATGGATACAAAGAATGTAGCTTTTTACAATGAGCTGCACACTTCAGAACTTTGGCATAAAAGGATGGGACATGTGAACTTTGGTTCACTAACCAAGATGGTTACAGATGAGATAGTTGAAGGACTTCCAGTAATCACTAAGTCTGACAAGGTATGTGATATTTGCCAATTTGGCAAGCAAACCAGGAGGCTCTTTCCTAAGGAAAAGAAATGGAGAGCTAAACAAAAATTGAAATTAGTCCACACTGACATTATTGGTCTAATGAAAACCTTGTCTCTTAATGATAGTAGACATTACATATTATTCATTGATGATTTTACTATATTATGTTGGGTGTATTTTTTGAAGAAAAAATTAGAAGCACTGATGAGTTTCCAGATGTTCAAAGCTATAGTGGAGAATCAATCTAGTCAAAACATTAAAACTTTGAGGGGTAATAATGGCTCAGAGTACACTATCTTTGAGTTTGAGAAATTTTTGGTGGAGTTTGGAATACAACACTTGTTTACTGTGACATATAGCCCTCAACAGAATGGCATAGCTGAAAGAAAGAATAGGACCTTGGCTGAGATGAGTAAGTGTTTGCTATTCCAGAAAAACATGATAGAAAAGTTTAGGCAGAAGCAGTGAATACTGCCAATTACATCTTGAATATGACCTTCACAAGGGCATTATCTCAAAAAACTCCATTTGAAATGTGGTATGGTTTCAAACCTACTGTTACACACTTTAAGATTTTTGGTTCTATATGTTATGTTAAAATCCCTGATGTGAAAAGGTCCAAATTTGATTCTAAGTCTACTATAGTTGTGTTTGTTGGTTATAGTGAAGTAACTAAGGGATATAGTTTGTATGATATTAATCTAAATAAGGTAATCATCAGTAGAGATGTAGTCGTTGATGAAGGATAATTTTGGAATTGGGAAAAGGGAGTTATCATGGGTACTATTAGTGATACTACTGAACTGGTATGTGATAGTGATGATGAACCTTTGCATATTGAAGATGAAAGATTGGCTATTAGGGGCACTAGGGCATTGCAGGACATTTACAATAGATGCAATTTAGCTTTAATTGAGCTTATAAATTTTTCTGAAGGTAAGTAAGATGAGAATTGGAGAGCAGCAATGAATGCAGAAATGCATATGATTAAGAAAAATAATACCTAGACTATTTTTGACAAACCTGCAGATCAACACGTGATTAGTGTTAAATGGATTTTTAAAACCAAATTAAATCCAGATGGCTCTGTAAATAAATATAATGCCATGTTAGTTGTAAAAGGGTATGCATAAGTGTATGGGGTTGACTATTTTGAGACTTTTGCCCCTGTAGCTAGGCATGACACAATAAAATTACATACTGCATTGTTAACTAAGGAAGGTTGGAAAATTTTTCGCTTAGATATTAAGTCTGCTTTTTTGAATGGTGTGCTATATGAGGATATTTACATAGAATAACCTGAAAAGTATGTGAAGAAAGGTAATGAAGGCAAAGTTTGCAAGCTGAGAAAGGCATTTTATGGTTTGAAACAGGCTCCTAGAGCCTGGTATGAGAGGATAGATGAACATTTTAAGAACCAAGGCTTTGTTAGAAGTGTGAATAAGCATCCTTTATATGTCAATAAGTCAAATGAGGAGATTATGTTGATTGTTGCCCTTTATGTTGATGACATGTTGATAACAAGACCAGACAAAGCTTATTTAGAAGATTTCAAGACACAAATGATGAGTGTCTTTGAAACGACAAACTTGGGACTAATGTCCTATTTTCTGGGCATGGAGGTGTTGCAATTGCCTGGTCAAATAATCCTGTATCAATCAAAGTATGCTAAGGACCTGTTGAAGAAATTCAATATGGACTCATGCAAAGCTGTAGATTTACCATTCAATATTGGAAACAAGTTAAACAAGGAGGATGAATCAGGAAAAGCTGATGGAATGTTGTATAAAAGCATGGTAGGCTATCTATTGTACCTATCGGCTACTAGACCTAATATTATGCTTGCTACAAATCTGCTTTCCAAGTTCATGCAAAATCCATTTGTTTGTCACTTTACTGCTGCAAAAAGGGTTCTCAAGTACTTTAAAGGTACTATGGAATTTGGCTTACACTACTTGAAGGATGAAAACAGTGAGTTAATAGGTTATAGTGATAGTGATTGGGCAGGGTCTATTGATGACTCAAAAAGCACTGGTGGGTTTTGTCTCTCTTTTGGCAATGCTGTGTTATGTTGGAATACCAAGAAGCAAGATATTGTGGCTCAATCTTCCACTGAAGTTGAGTAAATAGCTACAGCAGCAGCTGCTAATCATGTTATATGGTTGAGAAAATTGTTAACTGATCTAGGGTTCAAGTAAGGAAAAGCAACTCAGATTAATGTAGATAATCAATCTACCATAGCTATTGCAAGAAATCCAGTACAACATGGTAGGACAAAACACATAAGGGTCAAGTATCATGCCCTTAGAGAATCTGTCAACGAAGGTGGAATTCAATTGGCTTATTGCCTTACTGATATGCAGCTTGCATACATCTTTACAAAAGGCTTGACAGGAGATAAATTCGAGCTTATGAGAAGGAGGTTAGGAGTTCAGCAGGTGTTCAATCAAGGGGGTATATTGAAAAGTGATTTTAACCTAGGTTGACAAAAGTGTTAAAGCATTTGTTAAAACTGTAGTAGTGTTGGTTGGTAGTAAAATACAAATGTTTGTATCATTTTGATATTATCAGTGTTAACTAAACAATTGTTCAAGAGTCATTTAAGTGTATTAGCTGAAACACAAGTTCTCATATCGTTTTGTCAACACTGCTTTACTGCTTCTAGAATCTGCTGTAATTGGTAGTTGTAAACTTTTGTTAGAAAGTTTGTTTCAAATTTCTTTATAAAGACCGATCTTTATGGAGTTTAGTTTTTAGTTGTAAACCAGTATATAAACTCTAATAGAGCTGGAAATAAAGCAAGTGAGTTAGTTTTCTTTATTCAGTTTTTCCTCTCTGTTTCTTGAGTTTTTTTCAACAATCCCGTCTTTCTTACCGTGCGTGTTTTTGTTTCCTGCAACAAATTTTCTTGTTTTAATTCATCAGCAAAGGGATAAATAGTTATAAAATTACTGATGCACCATATCATCCTCTTTTTGCTTCTCCATCAAATGGTTGCAGGAATTCAACCATATCTATATGCCACCGTATACGTACGTCCCATTTGTTTTCTATTCTCATTCGAAGTCAGCTTTTAGAAACAGAATGGCCGGCAGGAAACGATAGCAGAAAATCAAAACTAACTTTATCTAAAAAAAAGGAAAAATCTATAGCAAAAGATACAACAGAAAAGTTATAGTATACAAAAGTCTGCAGCTCCATCTCTAGCTAGGATCTACCAGGAAAACATCTACATAGATCAGCAGGTGCTATATGATTTTGTGAGAAACTGGCAGCAATCTGCTTTTGATAATACTTACATCCGAAGCTAACAGGATAGGACTAGGTGATAGCCCTTATTAATCAGTGTCTCTGCTCTCATGATCTGTATCGAAGGGCTTAAGCAAACCGTAAGTAATTGCCATCGCAATCCACCCTCCAACCAGAACTCTCGCTGCTGATACCCTAACTGGTAAGCCACCAAGATGAGCTCCAAAACACCCGAAGAGAGCAAGAGCTATAGATGTAACCACTGCAATCACCACAATCCGAATAATGTTTTCTGCAATAAAAGCAGCGGATGCCAGAGGTACAACTGACCCACATAAAAATGCCAAAGCTGATGCGGCGGCGGCCTTATACGGGTTAGGAAGTGCTTTTTCCATGTGATCTTGCACCAATTCTACGGCTTTAGTACTTAAATCTTTGGTTATAACTTTTATTATAGGAGACCTGCCGGAAGATAAGACTTGGGGCTTTGGCTCAAGAATTAAAACCGGAGGTGGTATTTTTTCTGTTGGCTCACTGCAGGCCAGGTTCCTGCATGGTGCAGTCCTTGTAGGAGTCGGGGTATCTAACATGCCTAAGTTTGTCTCTCTGAGCTTGCTTGCCTTAACTGTAGTGGGACTGGAAGTCATATCAAGATTCTTGACGTGATCATGCTGCATGCCTGTGTCAGTTTTTGAAGTGCAGCGGGCAGCAGTTGCCTGTTCAATATCTCTTTGTGTTGAAACAGAAACGAACTCACCAACAGCCATGCTACAGGCACCCGCAAGTGCTCCAGCAAGTCCAGACATGATCATGGACCATCTATCATCCTCTGCTGCACCTACACCAAGCATTAGGGATGTAGTCGAAAGCAACCCATCATTAGCTCCCAGAATGGCTGCTCGAAGCCATTGAGCTCGTTGCACATGTTCGGTCGGTTGATAGGTTTCATCAGCGACAGGAATCTTGTGCTCAGAACATGATTCAAATGTTTGAGAGGAAGCCATGAGAAGAATTATGGAGATAAATACCTAGCTATAGGAATGCGTATGGAGTGTGGCTTCCGATGTTGAAACACACTCGGAGCACGTGGAGATTATATAAAAGAGACAAGGATTTGAGAAAGGGAGAGTACATTCCTACAAAATAGGTTTCTTAGGATATAGAGATTCTTAGGTGTTGCCGTGAATGATTACAAACAGGGAAGAACTGGGACGTTGGGGTCTATGATTCTGTTGTCTATCACGCCCCCAGTCATTCCTACGCCCTTTTTGCTTCTGAATATTTAGCAAAAATATAATTTTGAGTATGCTACTAATTTAGCCGTCCTGGAAAGATTGTTTGGGTCCTTCTCTGCTCAGCCTCGTTCCTATCTAACCGTAAGATACTTGCCTAAGTAGCTACCTTCTGTTTTGTTTTTTGCTTCTAATTACATAATTAGCACGAATACATACGTACTTTTTCTACATAGTGTTTCCTTACTTGAATCAAAGCTCCTTGGTTGAAATAGGATGCAAGGGTTGAATTACAGAATTACTCCAAAAGGTCTCGTTGTATTAATTGGTGTATTAATTTGATTTTGTTCTAACCATATGCTGCCTTACATTTTTGTAGGCCATTCCTAAGTCCTTGGCTTGTTAGTGACTCTAACGAAAGGGAATTGCTTGGTTGCCTTCTAAGGATTAATATCAACTTGGAGGACATTATATATATGCATGTATGTAACGAGAATAGGGATAATGGTTTGTAATTTGAAATTAATGATCAAAACCATTTCAGCACCAGCATGATTAACGTAATCATAACAACCATCATCGGCGTACACTCAGCTACAACAACTCCTGTGTAGGAGCCCCGAGCTTTGAATCATTCTTTTACACCGAAAGGATCGTTCTCGTAGCAGTCAACTGAAAAGTCATTTAATTTCATAAAATATAAAACTCAAAATAATCATACAACTTTTAACAGTTTGAGTTTCCTTTATGCTTCAAGCCATAAGATTAAAATATTCCAACTAAAATTCTCCTCGTTAAAGTATGATCATTCTCTGTCGCGCCACTAGAGCCGGTCCTTTGTCTGCAGGCTCAACCAGTGTTGTTAATTGCACAAACTACAACCAAACCAAATCAAATCCAAATTAATTATTAGCATAATAACAACAATATTTGAATTTTAGATAACAATAATTAGCATATATACCATTGGCATTTTTGATGGTTAAATAATGAGCGTTGTGGCCTTTAGTGCCACAAAGCAATCATTATTCATTATAGTATCAGATTGGTGAGACGAAGTCAGTAGATTACAATGATGATAATAATGTTCTGTGCATAGCTCAGCCAGATTCCTTGCTTTAGGTGATTTGCTCGACTGCAAGCATTGACTTTATATGATTGCTAATCATTTTTGGTAAATAGAAATTAAGTTACGGCAACATCTTTTTTACTAACTGTATCAGAAAAGTAGGTTCAGATTTTCACAAACACAAAAAGAAAAAAAAAATTACATGATATCGATTAAATTAGTAGATATTTACACACCTTAAATCTAAAGACTAGAGTCCAGGAGAAGGGGATTTCTTTGAAAATTGATAAGTACTGAGGATGCCAATAGGAATATGGTATGGATGGTAGCTGGCGCCCGAGAATTGAGGGAAAGTTTTCAGAGTCTTGTCGGAGCGTGGTTGGTTGGTCGCTAAAAGGCAAACCAGACCACCACTCAACTCAGCTGTGCAGTGCACTCCTCCTTCATGGTTTTATGGGCGTTTCTGTCGCGTTATGCCTTTGTATTTATGTTCTTTTTATTAGATTATCATTATATCCTTCTCTACTGGCAGTCTGGCACTTCTACCTTACCTCCTACACCGGCAAGCCCGTTTAAAATTGGCTGCCTGCAACGCTGCGCACTGCAATCTGCCCTCCTTCTCTTTCTTCTTACTACACTTTAACTTATTGCGAAAGTTTTTCCTCAAATGGCTTCCGCCAGGAGTCGTAGGAGTTTCACCGCTCATCTGTTCCTCTGGGTTTTTCTTGCACAAACTCATATTTGCTTTTCTGCCAAGGTGCATTACATTGGCAGCAATGCCGGTTTTGGGTTTCCATTAAACTATCTTCTGAATTTCATAGGCTCATGGTTTAGTTGGGGTGTGATGGTTGCAGGTGTATGTGGTATATATGGAAGTACAAATGGTGAAGACCCAGATGACATTCTCAGCCTCCACCACCAAATGCACGCTGTTGTTCACGGTGGAAGGTTTTTCTTCTCTTCCTTTTCTTTTTCCCCTTAATTCTCCCCGCTGTAACATTTTATCGTTGCTTATCTTATTGGTTAAACTCCTATGTGGTTGCTTAACATTAAAAAAAGAACAGCATCGAGAAAGCGCAGGCATCTCACGTCTACAGTTACAAACACGGTTTCAAGGGCTTTGCCGCCAAATTGACGGACCGCCAGGCTTCAAAGATAGCTAGTGAGTTTCTGGAATTTTATTTCTTTCTTCCTTGCTGTTTCTTTTGTCTCTTTTGTCTGTGTTCTGTAATGAGGGATAGATTTTCTCGGAACTCCAATTTTTGTTTAATTCTCTCCTGTACATACAAGATGCAAGTCGTCTTCTGATTCACCGAAAAAATAAAAAAAACAAACCCAGAAATGTCCGCCGTGGTCTCTGTGTTCCCAAATTTGAAAAGAAGGCTACACACAACTCACTCATGGGATTTCATGGGCCTTGTTGGCGACGAAGCAACGGAGATTCCTGGATATTCAACCAGGAACCCAGTCAATGTTATCGTTGGTTTTATCGATACAGGTCTGCTTTGTCTAGTTTTCTTCATTCATTAGAAACTACTAGTTTAGGAGTAATATATTCATATCTGACTTCATGTATAGTCCTTAACTTCAGAAGGGGTAATCCATATGTCCATTAGACATATGCTTCTTAATTTCATTCATGAATTCATCCTTAAAAGGCTCTGTTTGTCTGTGAGTCTATCATTCCAACGTTTCAACTTTCAATTACCTTTTCAACAGTAATTGAAATGTGCAGTCCAACTGTTGAAATGGATGATCACTGTTGCTGCTAGTTCAACAGATAGAGAGTTCACATCTGATATTGTACTAGGAGATGGAACTAACTTTACGGTAATTCTAATTACCTTCTTACTTTTGGACATACTGAATTGCTCCCCCGCTCCTCTTCTGAGCTTCATCAGTTTTCTGTCATTGAATAGGGGGAAAGCCTCAGTCTCACTGAAATGAATGCCTCTGCAAGGATCATCTCTGCCTCTGAAGCCTATGCATAATACTTTACCCCTTATCAATCCAGGTGAAGCACAACTTCTAAAAGTAATACACTTAGGATGTTAAGCGGGGAACCTATAGTAATTGTTCCTTCTTGGTTTCATAGCTATTTTCTAGAGAGTTCCTTGAATATTACCAGAGTCAGAGGGAAAGTTTTGGTCTGTCGACATGCTGAGGGTTCATCAGAGTCAAAGTTGGCTAAGAGCGAGGTAGTGAAAGAAGCTGGTGGAGTTGGGATGATCCTTATCGATGAGGCAGATAAGGGTGTTGCCATCCCTTTTGTAATTCCTGCAGCTATAGTTGGACGAATTACAGGAGACAAGATTATTTCCTACGTTAATCAGACACAGTGTGTGTTTACATTTAAAATTCCATCAATGAACCCAGCAGAATACAGTACTAAAAAAGCATTAAACTGACTTTGAATCAATTTTCAGTGTACACTTAAGATGTTATAACAATGTCATAAGAAGGCATATTCCAAAGACAGACTTTGGCCAGCAGGGCATAAGTAGCTTTCCAAGCATTAAACTGACTTTGAATCAGTTCTGTGTGCACTTAAGATGTTATAATGATGTCATAAGAAGGCATATTCCAAAGACAGACCGTGGCTAGCAGGGCATAAGAAGCTTTCCCAGCCATCAAGTAATGTTTGAAATCTGAACCTGAAGAATACCCCATATATGTTTTCCAAACACATAATATAATTTAAGATTAGCCTAGCTGCAATCTTCTTGCATTCAAAAGAATTAAAAAGCATAAATAAAAATGCACTTCATGTCTATTATTCCAAACTAGCAAAATCTTATCCATATGTAGAATGTTACAGTCCCTAGCACTTAATGGATGCATATATCAATGATGAATACAACCTTTGTGTAATTGAACACAATGTCAAGCTCGCAAACATTCTTGAAACGTCTATCCAACATTTCCACCAAAACTGAACAGATCACATCAAGTAAAATCGTCCGATATTTGAAATAACTATCAGAAATTATTGTCATATCCAGCTTTCTAGTTTATAAAGGAAATGCATGAAAAACCTGGGACATTGTTCTCATCAGAGAACATGCAATTTTTAGAGCTAAGAATTTTATTGAATCTTAGAATCACAAGAAAAATTGTTAACATGTCCACACAAAAAAGGATGGTTATATTCAAGATAACATCTAGAATTGTATTGATGCAACCAAACCCTGCCATTTAAAAGACACCTGAGGTAAACTCAACTAAGTTGGGTGACACAACAATCATCACTAGTTCCAGTGCACATGAATATCAATTTTTTCATATTCAGTAAATGCTCATACAAGAGAATATATTCCACAAAAAGGTGTATCTGAACTGAATGCAACTTCAAATCAACACAAAAACCATCAAAGTGGCTTGCTTCAGCTTTATGAAAAGTTTTCTTATCTATAATGTTAGATAAGTATTCAGACATCTCCAAGTATTGATTAATTAAAATCTTGATTTTTAAATGATCATGGTACAGAAAAACAACATTTCATAACTTAATTACTCCATTATAACTCTACAAAAAAAAGCAGAACCATACCTTGTATCAAGTCAAGCTCTGCTAGTTCAATTTCGGAACTATCAAATAAAAGAACAAAGTAAAGAATAGCAAAATGGTTGCATACAAGGCGACTATCCTGAAAGTGAGAATTCAAAAACAATTAAACAGAGTTTAAAGTAGAGCTAAAATAAAGCTATGGCAGTTGTTACATGCGAGTGGAAGAAGAAGTTTCAATCAAGAGGACAGCCAAATGAATATTAATTGATTTCTAACCTCACACTAACAAGGGAATGAAAATTAAATTAGAAATGAAGAAAAAATAGAACATAAAAGAAATTACCGGACCAAAAATGGATTAAGCGTCTATGAAATTGCTTAGGTTCTCCGCTCTACTGCACAAGACTGTTTAAAAGATCAAAATTAAAATTTAAAGCAAAAAAAATAGAAAAATAAAATACGAACTCTAAGTACGAATTCAAGAATGATCGATTACGTCAAATCATCAACAAGATTTAAAAAACTGCATCGAACATTCATGCGATCCAAACAGAGCGAAGTTCAAATTAATTACAGCTAAATTAAGAAGAAGATGACGAAGAAGAAGAACGTTGGTAAGAGATCGGAACCTGCAAAAACGCTTCGTATAAGCTCCTGCTGCTTCTCCACTGGCCGATTTAAAGGAATTCAGAGCCACGTCGATTATTGCAGACGAATTGAACAAGTTGATAAGATCGTGATCTTCATTTTAAGAGTAAAAACAAATTCAAAAGAGAAAGAGAAATTTACCAGATATTTGTAACATTTTGCAAGGCGAGGTTTGCCTTGAGTGCTGACCGCCATCACAGCTTTTATCATCTTCGCTCCTCTCTGTCCACTCTCTCACTCTAAAGCCAAACAGAATTTTGGATATGCTGAAAGTTTCACCTCTGTCTCTCTCTCTCTATATATATATACACACACACACACACACACACGGGGCGCCCTGAAATTTGTAAATGGACAAAAAAGTCCTCCACCAGTGATTGCAAACCAAAGACCAACGAGGTTAAATTAGGAATATAATAATAATGGACAAAACCAAAGTACTAATCCACAGTAAGGTTAAATTAGGAAATTGAGAAAAGAATTGTAATGAAATAATCATATAATAATCCACGCCGTATATAACCTGGACGAGCCCTAGACAAGGAGATCAGTTTTAAAATTGGAGCTGGAGGCGCCAAAAGAACGTCAAGAAAATGGCTACTAAAGATGATGAAGATATAATGATTGGAAAGTGAAAAATCCTTGAGCTCGTTTATCGAATTGATGCCACGCTTTTTATGACTAAAGGCCTAAAAGGAAAGGGAAACGGATAATCAATCATGACAAATAATTTTTATATTAAAAAGATTGAGAATAATAAGTGTTATAAATAATAAAATTTTTGGACATCCAAAAAACTGGCAGTTAAAAATTTTAAGGGGTATGTTACATTTTTTTCCCTCATAGTCAGCGCTTCGTTGCTTACACGTAACAAACAGTCTTGTTTTATCGCATTCGTGTGCGCATTCATTTAATTAGTAGATGGAAAATACACACAGTACAGTTTTAAATCTTACTCAAGTCGGTTAAAACTTCCCTCATACGCTACCTTAATGTGAACTGTACCCAAGTACATAGTTGAAATGCTATCAACAAAACCCTTTTAGTCCATCTACAAAGGTCATACTGAATGATTTGATTTGCAAGATCCATCGAGCTCAGTTTCTTGTCAATTTACAAAGCACGGACTCTACATCGAGTGACGACCATCTGCCCTGTCTTTTGTTGTCCGCTCCTCCTGAATTTCTTCATAATCCTCGTCATCTCCCCTCCTACCAGCTTGTTCCTTCCAGTATGCAACCAACTTTTTCAATCGAGCCACCTCTTTTGAGCAAATGTTCTTGCTGGGATCATTTACAATGGACCGAACTCTTGATGCATATCTAAATTGGCAAGAAGAGGTTAGAAATAGAACGTCATAGGCATAGAAACACAAATAGCGACAAGAATACAGCCAATTCACCAAAGAAAATCAGTTCCTTTAAGCAACATCATCACAGAATTAGTTTGCACAGAACCTTACAATATCCAGTACCTACTTGCATTTCAAATTAGTTATACTTTCATCTCGTACTATTTCAACTTATTTTTCTTAACATACTTGTATTCAAACATATTAGACACCTTAAACTAGAAATGAAAATCCAATCCTCCAACCTTAACAAAATGTACATATTTTATGTTGAGCACGAATTTCTGTGCAAAAATCTATATTGAGGATCCAGGAGGAAAAGATGATAATTCACTAATATATTGACACCATAATTTATCTCAAAGGTTATTATATCAATTCTATCGAAAACTATATCATATTCTCTCTAATTTTGACTTATGCAGTTGTACGTTAACTACTTCAGTTTAATATGATAAAAACACTTGAAAACAGCACTTTAATGTAGACAACTTGTATAGAAAACATACGTTAGAGAGTTGTACGTCTCATCCAAATTTGATTCAGCTGGAGACACGTTAACAAACATGAGTGTTTTGGCATTACCACCAAGTGAATCACTCATTAACATCGTTAGCTTGTGATTCCTGTAAGGAATATGTTGGCTGCCAGAAGATAAAGCACTAATGACATCCCCAAGCGCTGAAAGTGACTTGTTGATACTCTGAGCTTCTTTAAGTTGATCACCGACAGAACCCGACTTCTTCACTCTCTCAGAACCAGCAAGGTCCACAAAGCTTAGCTGCACATGAGGGAATTAGATCGTCATCTTTTTACAATCATGCAAGTGCAAGATTTTCTTTATCCTTCTTTATTTTTAAAAAATTGTTATTTGTTTTAATATCTAAAAAACTAAAAACCTTGGCAAGGCAATCAATACTTAGTAAGATTCAAATTTATGCAATGCTTTTGTTCCTGTCAAGGATCATAGCTTAGAATTTAGATTATAGAACAAAGATAGAT